TCAGTTGTAGCGTATGGCAACTAATGAGGCAGTGGGGGGAAATCAATCATAAACGGAAACGACTGTCTCGGAGCAGTCACCTAAGACTTCAGTGAAATTTCAGTGCAGTGTCTGATAGTCATGGGGTAGTTGTAGGATTCCTCTTTCTTAAATCACTTTAAATCTAGTACAGGGATGTAAGAAAAATCCCGTGCTGGCTGATCCGTAGATTTCTGTCACAGGTCTTATTTGTATATTGCCTTTACTTCTTAGTATATCCTAAGAGTAAGTAGAAGGATTAGTACTTTCTTTGAAACTAAGCTTCTAACCTAAGAAGTCACCTGAATTTTTGGGTTTGCATCTGAATTTCTTGTTGATTTTTCTGCAAGAAATGTGTTTAAGAAAAATATATTTTAAAAAATTCTAAAGTTTCATGGGAACAAGCTAATACATGCTCAGTTTGCTCTTTTAAGGTAGGACAGCTTAAAATAGTTGTGCATAGTATCCGAGAATGACAAGTTGAATTTTCTTGAATTCTAGGTGTTACGTTTACAACAAAAAGGGACGGCTGGTAAACGCACCCTATGTGGACAACTCTTACAAGTGGGCTGGTGGTGGATTTCTGTCGTCAGTAGGTGACCTTCTGAAATTTGGAAATGCCTTGTTATACAGTTATCAAGCTGGACAATTTAAAAACACTAATGGCAAACTTCTTCCTGGGTACCTCAAACCAGACACAGTTGCAATGATGTGGACCCCAGTGCCAAAAACGGAAGTATCGTGGGACAGGGATGGTCAATATGCAATGGCTTGGGCTGTAGTAGAGAAAAAACAACAATACGGCTGTTGCAGACAGCAGAGACACTATGCATCTCATACGGGTGGTGCAGTGGGGGCAAGCAGCGTCCTCCTAATTCTGCCTGAAGAGCTGGACTCTGAAGCTATAGATACTGGGCTAGTGGCCCCACCTAGAGGAGTAATTGTTAGTATTATCTGTAATATGCAATCAGTTTCACTCAACAGCACTGCCTTAAAAATTGCAAGGGAATTTGATAAAGAAAAATGGGCACAATATATAGATTAAAAAAAGAGATGAATGTAACTGAACTCACTGTACTGAAACATGAAAGAAAATGGAGAAGAGTGTAATTGGACTCTGAGATCACTAAGAATACATGAAGAAAAAGCATCAAAAATTCACTTAATTAACTTCTGCTAGTGGTGCTAAACTTAGGTGTAACTGGAATTAATCTCTCAGGGAAGTTTGTAACAGAAAAGGAGAATGTAAATTTGACTTCCTGTAGGACCTGTGTAAATTATCGTTATATTAGCAGGTTTTTTTCTCATCCAGTCAAGCACTTGACCAAGATTAAAAAAAAACCCTAGTGTTGATTTCTTGCACTGAGAAGTACAACAGATTATCTACCTTAAATGTTAAATTTTTGAAAAATTTCACATCTTCATCTGAGCACACAAAGACATAATTTGTTATTCTTACATTTCCAGTCTGCCAAAACTGTTCAGTATTGCTTCTTAAAGAAAAATGGTTTTACTGTTGATTTTTATATTTTTCATGTTTTTCTTATTTGCTTAAAAAGCAAAAAAACCCAACAAAGCCCAAATCTTGAAGCTACCTCCAGAATGCAGATTTATACTAGAAGTACACTTTTGTCAGAGCTGTGGATTGTTAAGAATTAGAAAAGAATGAAGCTAGAGTAATGTAAGTAAAAATCTTTTTGTTGTTTAGATGTCCTCTCCTCCGTTTATTGGACACAGAGAACGTGTGAAACTCATTTACTGTGAAATAAGGGTATTATTTCCACAGTCAAATATGCCTGAAGAGCACAACATGCTGAGCTGTCAAACTGTCTCGTTGTTTTTGAAGATACACGTGCTAACTTTGGTAGCCAGAAATGGCACTGTGTTCTGTAGTGTAGATGCTCCTTTAGATGTGAGGATTAGGAATTCAATAAAAGTTAAAGCCCATTCTTGAAGCCAGTAGTAGAAGTCTCACAGACTTTGAGAGTTTTTTTTGAAAACCATTTTTTTTTCCATTTGGAGATCTGCCTCGAGTTTCTTTTGCGCAAGGTTGAACAAGAAGTTGTGGTAAGAGTTCCAAAGAAGCATTTTGTAATCTTCAGTTTTACTGGAGGAATACAGTAACGTCTGAGTATGTTAATCTTAGATATTCCATAATGGCATGGGAGATCTCCAAGATTTATCCCCACCCCATTCCCCTGCAGTTACATTGGACAGTATTTCCAGGCTGAGACAAAACAAAATATCCTTCAGAAAGGGTTTGAATACTTATGTCCCTGCACTGTTCAGCAGCTCTGCTTCTCCGAATTTCAGGAAGATGGCTTCAGTATCAGCTAGCAGAAGATAGCCTTACCTGCCGCTTTCCCAAGTTACTGCTTTTAGTATTAACTTCATAGTTGTTACCTGCCCTGTGATGAAACAAGATGCTGTCGTCTCTGTTCCTGGTGTGCCTATGATAACATTTATTACTTAAGACTGACAAACTAGGAAATTTTATTATTTTGAGGCATCAGTGTTTTACCTACATTTTTAATTGAAGCTAGTAGGACTGGTTTAGTACCCTTCAAAATTCTAATCATTCTTGTGCCTTAAAACAGTAAAAGTAAAACACCTGAAACTATTTGCTTGCATTTTCTGGCCTGCTTACCAAAACTTTACTTTTTATTCATTAATAATAGGTTGTCTTTATCTCACGAATATCAAGTCAGTAGAAGCAACACAGAACTTTTCTGAACAAGCTTTCATTTGGTCAGGCAATAAATTTGTCTACTCTTCCACTGAAATCTTTGATATCGTTTGACAGTCCCAGTACAGAAGTAATATAGGTGAGTGTCTTCTTCAATAGCAACATTTTTTTTTTTTTCCAGTCTTGAGCACCTGCTAGCTGGGTAAACATGCAGCTGCAGAAGTCATTGCCCATTTTACACAGGGAAAAGAGTAAGTAGTTCTGAGTTGTTTTCATGTTCAAGAATACATGAATAAAAATAGACCAAATATAATGTTTTGAATATAGAAAATCTTAAAAGTTTTTAACAGTTATTTTAGTATTTACAACATATTTTTCTAGTATAATACATCTGTTTTGCAAATGGTATTTATTGTTCTTGAAAACCATTTTGCATACTTGAGAGAAAACAAGTCTCACTCACTGACCATTGTGCTTGGGTTTAGACAAAGATTCAGAATGTAGAAGGTGTAGGTTTACCATTATGCTTGTCTGCATACGACCAAACATTAGTAAATGTTAAATACTTGAAGTATGCATGAAAGTGAATAATGGTAATATCTTGGTGTTTCTAACACCAAGATATTAATGACAATGGCTCACTCTCCTCATAGGATATGTTTAGCCACCCACTTGTTATATGCATCACACGTTCTTCATACTTATTTCCCATAACTTAAGGCTTAAAAAAACCTCTGTTGTCACACATACAGTATTGGAGATGCAATGATGGCTACATTTCGTCTTTCAGTACCTGGAAAAAAATGGGTCACTGACTTTCTCTGGTATTTACTTAAGATTGAGTCCGAAGTTATGTTTTGGGATGGAAGAGAAGGCAGAGATAGAGGAGACTAAGAATCGGTCTGGCCTTAGCAATGTATTCAGGTCACAAGTGAATTAATATTGCCACTTTGATCTTGGTTCAAAACCAGTTGTTTAATGGGCTGGCATTAAGTGTAGAAAACTTAAGAGCAGCTTTCATGATAAATTTGCTCTTAGTTAACCTTTATTGTGAAAACACAGTATGGCACTGACATGAAACTGTGCTTTTCTTAAAAGGCATGTATACTAAATTGGTGCATCTATTTCTGTATGAAATACCTGCTTTTTGCATCTGGTAATTATAAGTGTTCACTGTTTGAATTAACTGAAATAAAACTTATCTTGCAAATGCAACAAATTGTAGTATCAGGTTTGGGGTTTTTTTAATTGACTGGAAATATACAACTTTTAAAAGTCATAAAAAGAATACAAGTTAAATAGAAATTCCCAACAATAATTAGCTCATCAAGACACTTGATACTTTGAAAGAGATGTTGTTGACATATAACTTGAGATATTTAGTAAAATAAGATACATGTAAGACTTTGAATGTTTTCTCATGGTTTAAAAAAAAAAAAATCCACCTTTTAACAGCCATTTAGAAAAGGATGGCTTTTGACAACTAAAAACCTGTTTTGTCATTCCAAAAGGTATTATTTCAGTATTTAATACTGAAAATATGCATAGTTTTGCTGTATTTTTTTTAATGACTTGATGCCATTCACAGCTGTTAGGGTAGTTCCCTGACTTACTGTTACTTACATACCATATGCCTTCTCTATACTGAATTGCACTCTATGCTTTCAGTGTTTTGCAAAAGACTCCGTGGTTGTGGTTTTTTTTATCTCAGTATAGAATACCAAATGCGGTTTCAAGACCAGATTAAAGGAAGGGAAAAACCGTGCATTCCAGAAAAACAGCTGAACATAAGTGAGTAACTTTATATTTTTATTTATCACCCTGTTACTCAACACGGTAAAAGGACTAAAGCAATATTGAAAGCAAATGAGCCATTTAAAATCTATTTAGCCTTTGTAACCCTTGCAGTTAGGGTAGGTGCAGTAATAAAGTATAAAAAATGCATTCTTACAGCAGTTTGTCACCAGATGCATTACCCTGCTGTAGTTGATGATTAACAAGGGGAAGGACGCAGCAAGTCCAAGGTTTTTATAATAAATGACACAACCCAATTAACCATACAGTGTTTAAAAGTAAAGTTATAAAAATAGAGCTCAGTTATGTGCAAACTTCCAAAAAAAAAAAAAAAAAACAACTTGCACTTCAAATCATTTATTGAAAAAGAGATTCCAGCTCATTAGTCACTGTAGCATGTAATTTTTACAAAATCGATTGTAATTACATTGTTTTATTAACAGGCATTTTTAAACTGGTAAGGCTTTCAGGAACACAGATCCAAACTCACATGATGAAGTGTTCAGTGTTGCTTTCGTCTAAATGAGCAGCCTGTAAAGAAATCACATGATCATAGATATGAGTAGTCCTTAAATTGTTAGACTGCCTTGGAAAATTGCTCACGCAACTTAAATAGGAAAACTCACGCACTAAATTTAAATTTTGTGTACCAGAAGAGATGAAGATTTAGCACTTTGAGTCTTCTCTAACTTGACCAGAACAACATGGCTGTTATAATTAATCTTAAAATAGGGCTAAGGTGTATTATTTCTTTTCTTCCAGATGCCTTTTAAAATTTCAGTCTATTGTTCCATCACTTTGTGATACAAACCCCAAACTGAAACAGTTGCTAGAGTGTTGATACCTTTTCAATTGCTCAACAGCCTTACTTCAGGGCTCACAAAAACTACATTTGTGTAGTAGCACATGGTATAAGCACTATTATATATAACTTGCATATATGTTTACCTTTCATCCTTTAAACAAAACATGAATGAAATCCGGATTTGTTCTTTCATTTTTTTTTAAACTCTCAAGTGTTTCCAGTGTTTTTCATATACCCCAGACATTGGGTTGCATTTCAAGATATACTGCTATACTAGTTATCTGTATATAACTATCAGTGTTTATTTGTTCCCTTATTATTTATACAAAACAAATCTGGATTAAGAAACATGAGCCAGGGAACTGCCTTAGTACTGCTTCTTAAAAATAAACAGGCCAGCTACCACTGAGGAGAAGTGGCACAGAATTACTTTAGCCTGGCAGAAGTACCCTGGTGCTTTTTAACACTCCAGACTTAGCTCAGAGTTAAATAGGCAGTATTTATTACAGATAGGCTAAAGGAAAAGACAAGTCAAAGCATGGAAAATCAAGTATGGTTGATCAAAATATAAGTGCTTAGCTGACCAGTATGTCCGTAGAGCCCTTTAAAAACAAGAATCTGAAGAAAAATTTGCAATTCAGGGCCCATTAACAATGTTTTTTTCCTAGCCAACTCTAAGCAATTTGCCAAATAAGCATTCCAATATCAGTTTTCAAAATCAAAGCTAATATATTTGCAGGCTATAAATACATAAATGCATTTATGTAAGTGGACTATTTAAGCTGCTAAACATTGCCTCTTACCTTCTGTGAGCCTGGCTTTCCCCCCAGTAGGCTGACACAGAACAGTTGAGCACCCTACACAGAGAACTACTGTCTGAGCGTGGCTGAATACAGTGGTGATCTTGTAGCAACCTGGAAAACAGCATTATTAAACTTCCCACTGAGTATTTCTAGCATTATTTTTTTTTATTGTATGTGTAATTGAATCAGGTACTCTAAATACACTTGTCCAAAAATGGATTTGTATTTCATTACACAGCATACCAAGTAAAACAAAGCAAAACGTGGTTATTGTGGTCTGAAGTACTTGCTTTTATTAACATGCGTATGAAAGCAAGTTAGTTAAGTGAAACTGTTGTAACTCCCGTATGAAAATCAACACAGCCTATACCCTATCTTTATTCAAGACTAGCCTTCTCTGCTGAATAGAAGAACCCGTATAGCTCGAGAAATATTTAACTTGTAATAGTAGAACATTGCTGTTGACGAAGTCTGGCACCTGTGAATATAAACACTGCTGTTCAGATCTGTGTTTGCTTTCTGTTTAATAACTGGTGCACATCGGGCATGTACTTGGTTGCATTCTACAAAGCTATCATCATATTTAAACGAGAAGAATTGCGCAGAAAAACACTAATTCCAGATGCCAGAAGAGGCATCAGCAACACTTTGTCTACAGCTTCTACATTTTATGACTGACTTAAAGAATGAAATCACTCTCAATGTGTGGCTTAGACAAAGGGATTTTCACTGCTTCCATTCCTTTCTCTGAAAAGTATTTTTAATTAGCTAAGAGGAATTTTTGGAGAGAGAACTTGGAAAGTATTTAATCTAGATGTGGATATACAAAATAGACAGATAAAGGTGAGCATAGATGCTATTTTCAGCATGTGTGGACCAGAAAGGTAAGATAGAATATATGTGGTTAGGAAGGTCCTCGCAAACCTCTCTGACGAGAACTGGTTGGTAGGGAGTACTCCTATGAGCCAGAGTAACAGATTTCTGCTTTGTTTAAATTGCAGATAGTAACTGCACAAATCTTTGTTTTCAAAAAAACTGCTAGCAGGTAAAATTTAACCATAACAAATGTTGCTTTCCCCCCATGAATGTGAACTTCCACACTGATGAGTTTTTAACTTTGTGGATTTTGCAGGGAAACGAGCCTGATCCAATTCAGTATCTAGGTAGCAACTTCCCACACCACCAAATGATGCATAAGGCCATCTGATATTTTCAGTGCCTCGCACTTAGGTCTCCATCATTATTGAAGCTCTCCTGCTTTACTCTATATATCCCTCAAACTCAATAACCAATTAATCCAACAGTAATGAATAGAAGGAATGACCTGTGAGCCTACATTGACGTTAACTGTATCTTAGTATCTGAATGCATGTACACTGGTTTGAAGAAAGTTTTTTAAAAAATGAATCAGTGGCTTAGCCTTCAACCATGTATTTTTTAAAAGTAACTACACTTTACTTTCTAACAGCTTTAATGAATTTACCTCACTTTTAGATGGAAAACAATGTCTCAGAGCTTCTTAGAAATCTAAGCTACTAAGAGAGAGTAAGATAATGAGAAAACCTGAATACAGCAACAATTCCCTGCTTCCAGTCAGGATGATCATTATTGTAAGTAAGTCTATGCATTTTTCTTACTGCTGTAATCTTCTTATTCTGCAGGAGTTTCTAGGAGATAAGTTACCACACTTGACACTTTCTGTGCCTTGATATGGATGTAGCTGTTCACTGCTTGAGCGTACTCCTGTAATTGTGCTAGAAAATCCCATGGTTTAGTTTATAAAGGAGAAGTTGGTTATGCAGATGTTTCTGAGCCAAATAGAAACCTGTGAGAAGCAGACACAGGCAACATCTTGAATATAACCCCTGAATGCGTGAGCTAGATGTCAGCTTACTTCTTAACAGCAACATGTGAAAAAGGCTGTTGTGTATGGTTTACTTTCTGTGTCAAGTCCCAGTATGCCTGCGTATATCCTTGTGGAAAGTTTTTCTGGTTGCTCTTCCAGAATCAGCCAGCTTCTAAAAGGAGGAAAACAATGTAGTCTTCTATTTGGCACTTGTGCCATCGATGCTTTAAAGCATCCATTTCATCTCACTTTTTATACATGCAAATCTGGGGGTTTGTTTTTTCCCTATTTGCCAGGATTTCATAAAGGAAAAAAAAAAAACCAACAAAAAAAATCTCATGGTAAACCTCCAGAAAAAAAAAAATAAAAAGCTGATTGTTTAAATTAATTTTTTCAAAAGGTTGAAAACACTTTTATTTTTAAACAAACTGAAAGCAATATACAGGCTTTTTTTCTCTCTACAGAACAGATAAACGACATTTAAGATTAAAAAAAAAAAAAATCAGACCTTTTATAAAGATGACCCACATACAAAATTAGTTTCTTCTGTAAGACAAAAACATTTTCAATATTTACCTGGACATTTTACATCCATAAAGTAGGAGTTTGGGCTCTGCACAAGACGTTTCTTTTTGTGCTTTCTCTTCTCGTCCTCCAAGGAGGGATGCACCAGGTCTTTGGCCAGCTGGGCGGGACGGGAGGGAAAAGGCACGGCACGTTAAGCGGCGCTCGGGCTCACGGGCGGACCAGGTGCCGCCGAGTTCCC